ATATAAACATTGCTAAGAAGTTCCTCTGTTTCATGTACTGCAATTTATTTTGGAAGGTGCAAGGCTGATGATAATTCTTGCCTAATAGAAGGTTCTGAAATCCAGCAGAAGCTGGAATTTATTCTGCTTCTTAAGCTTGTCCTTATAATTAAAAACTGTTAGCACTGTGTCAGTTACGAAATAGAGAACAACAGGTGTACTACTTTCCCATGAGAGAATTGGAGCCACGATATACTCTCAATCTCTGTTGTAGGCTGGAGGTGTGATTATCTCATTGAAAATACATAACCTGGAATTAACTTACTTAAAGTCAGTAGTGTTCTGGGATGCAGATTTTTTTTTTTTTCTTCTTAAGAGAAGAAAATTCTGTATCTTTAATTTTAACCAGTTGGTTTGCAGAGACTCACTTCTGAATATGAGTATTAGAAGGAAATAGAGAATGTGAACAGAATTTAATAAGACTGTTAAAATGTTACCATATAGTAAACTTGCTGTGATGTTAAAGCAGGATTTCAAGCTACTCTGCATTGATGACTGAAGGAAAATTTGAGAGAGGATTAATGTCATTGTAACCTCCTAAATGTGTTTGAGTATGATGCTGCCACGAATACTGGGATGTGTTGTACAGCAGTAGAATCTGAATCTGATGTACCTTCTAGGTAATAATGTCTCTTTTCTAACCATCTTGTACAACTGTTCATGTGGTGGTACAAAAAGCGTAAGGGTATTAGTAAGGCTAGTTTTCTGTGTTGGTGGTGTGTTTTTTTAAGTATAGGGCCAAAAGCTGACCATAGATTTCTTTGAGAAAAAGGGTGTATTTTAAGCAGAGAAAATCTTTGTTTCTGTCTTTCTGCTAAAGACACAATATCCCTATCCAAAAGCATAGAGGTTGTTTCTGATTATGTATTTAATTTCTTTTAATAACCCAGCAAATCTGTGTGGGTATGCTTCATCCTCTAATTTTAAGCTCACTGTCAGTGTCCCAAATAAAGTAATTCATGTTAAGAATTGGACATTATTTAAAGCATAATCATGATAGAGAATGTGTTGCTGTCAACCTAAGATCACTTGAGAGATGTGGCAGTGCAAAAGATTCACACTGCCTAACTGGACATGTGAAAAAATAGTGGCTATCAGTGACCCACACTAAAGGAAATGGAAGCTAAATGGAAGAAAGGAAATCAGCTGAAAGATGCTGAAACTTGGTAAAATATTTTAGTGTGACAGAAGCTGAAACCATCTTTATTGGCTTGGAATTTCAGCGGGGTGGCTTAACGAACTTCATACACAGCCACTGAAAACACAGTGTTTTAGGAGAACACTATAAGGCACAAAAATGGGATATCCAGAAATCTAGCATTAAGTAGTCTTGAGCCTGGGATTTTCAGTCAGAAATCTCTGTGTACCACCATGCAGTTCTACTCAAACTCTTAAACCTTTTATTAAGTACAAGGGGTGCGTGTGTGTGTGTGTATGAAAGGGTTGGGGTGGAGGAATAGAAGTATTTGAAATGTGAAATATTAAGTATATATTATATGATTTTAAACCTAATTCCAAGAATTGGCATATTTCTACTAGCATTAGACTGTGAAAGATACTACTGTAGCTACAGTTTTAACTGTTGACTTACAGTATTATTGGAAGAAAAAACATTCACTGAGAATGGTCGAACAGAGAAAAAGAAGTAGAAAATATTCAAGAAAATACAGAAAGAGTAGTGTGGAAATACTGAGCTAACAGAAGAATGTAAATCTATTACTTTTAAATGAAATATAGGTTTAGGTTGCAGCTTAATTAGTAAGCGTACTTCATCTTCAAAGCTTGTAACTGTCATTTGGAAGGAGGCCAATGTTGAAAACCTCCAGTGAGGCACAAAGGTAACGGCATCTAAATTTTTTTCCAATGAATGCACTATAATATTGTCCTGTTTCTGCTGTTGCATTTGTTTGATAACATATATTCTCATTTGCTTCAGTAACAGCAGAGGTAGCTTTTATGTATTTTGGTTTTCATGTTACTCCAAACACAGAGGTCCACAGATTGTTAGAAATCCACTTTGCATCACAGACTTGCAAGCCTGAGATTAATTAAAAGATGCATTTACTGCTGTTAAATAAAATTTGTCCAGATGAGACTTTTAAAATAATGTAAAAATGATTAGCTCCTGATGTCCTTTTTCAAGGGATTATCCAGGGAGCAGTTAAATTACTAGGAACTTGATGAACGAAAGTAATTTCTCTTCATCTTTTAACAGAAGAAAATTAGCTTCTGGGCTTGTCAGAACTAGCTTTTTTTGTTGAGGAAGAATCCAGAATACAAGGTTCTGAGTCTTCTGAGCTCCTAATTTCTTCTCCCTTTCTAACCCTACTGATGTTAGCACTATAGAAGCTTCATATGTGTCTTAAAAAAGATGGTGAGGTAAAGCAGCCATGTCAGTGCTTTGGTGAGAAAGACCAAACTGTGAATATATCCTTTATTTGTGTGCCCTATGAAAATACATAGATCAAAATTTAGACACGACTCCATGGAAAAAAAAAAAATCCATCAGTTGTTTATATGGTTTGATTCTCCTGTATAAATCCAGGAAACCTCAAATACAGAGTGCAGGGACTAAAACATGTTGCAGTTTAAATGGAAGGAGGTACCTGGTTGATTGGAGAGGAGTTCACCTGTGGATTGCTATGTGAGTGAGCACATAGCACACTAAAGTACACTTTATTAGTGCTGATTTGATTTAGATGTCCCTGGGGAGAAATGGTGCTGAAAAGTTTGATTTATCAGTAATTCCATGAACTCAGAATACAAGTCATGTCTGAGCTGCCAAAGGAAATGGTTTTGCCCTTCCACAAAATCTCATATGGCTACATCTGTTACCTTTACTGTATAATCCATTTTATCTTTCCGTTTTTTTTTTTTCCCCAGGAAGGTGGTAAAGATGCAGAGTGTCCAAAGACTCTTATAACTCAATGTTTAAATCCTTTTACTAAAAGAAAAGCTATTCAATTTAAAGAAATTCCACTTTACATTTGTGATCTACTACTTCCTATTAAGTGAGCAATGACTATGGGAATATTCAGTTAAAGTTGGTTGGCAATAGATTCTGTATTTGTGAATACATTGACAATTACATATTGGCGTATGGGTTAGAATTCACCCTTTTACCTCCCTTATAGCTTTTATGCTGTCTTGTAATGATGCATCACTGTTAAGAGCCATTAACCATAAAGCTATATAAGAATATATGAACTATACAAGAAAATACAAGAAATAAGCTCTTAAGAATATATTCCTTAGTTTTCCACTGAAAGTGTAGCAGATTTACACAAATAAAAATGACTTTTGAGAAGAAGCATTTCCAGTTTAAAGTGCCTAACTAATCATTCCATAAATATAGAGGGAAAAACTTGAATGGGTTTAGGAAAGCATAACTGATTATATAGTAGCAGCACATCAATGAACAAATGTTAATTGTAGAGTGTCAGGATCATAGCAAGATTACAAAATTTAGCACTTTGTGGTAACTGCAGGTGTTTTTCAGAAATGTTACAAGCTGTATTATGAGAGAGAGAAAAACATCATGTATGCTGCATAGAAAATTCTCGTGTTTCTAGCAATTTTGGATCTGTAGTACCTCTGTAGTAAGAATCACTCTTTCAGCTTCCACTGGCTATTTAACAAGTTCTGAACAAACCATTCCTGACATTGAAATATTCTGTCATAATATCTTATGTTTAATTGTGGTTCTAGTCTGGCTGTTATGTTACCTTTTTCCCTGTTTATCCTATGCTGGTTCAGGGAGCTTAGAGTGTATATGGTGTGGGACACTCTCACGGAAGTATTCATTATGTATTATTCTTTATCAGTAGACTAGGAACATTAAAACTCAATCCCTCTGATAGAAATCCTATGTTAGGATTATAAAGTGGAAAATAAACTTTTATTATGTACAGGTCACCACTTAGTATTCTATCTGTTCCCAAGCAGGAGCCCACATATTAAATCTTTTATCTCAGTCATAATTAAAATGTCAGTGAAAGCATAATACGATAATCAAGGTACTTTCAGGGTTACTTTGTATTGAAAGAAGACTTTAAATGTAGTGTGAATATTAGGAGGTAGTTATTCCAGTATGATGTGGGAGCTTATTGACACATTTACCAGAGGGAGGTTATTAAGTTTTGTACGCTTGGTTAGAAAACAGGGAGGACTGCCTAAACAAGATAGTCATTTGTAGAAACATGGGAAGGAAAAGCAAGAAGAAAGCCCTTGAATTGGAAACACAAAGGTTTGTTTTAGGATGAGAATCAATCAGGCAGCAAGAGCATCAGTGAGAACATCATGGAGAGATTTACTTTAGCCGTTGAGTTTAAAAAGGAGTGATGATGATGTTTCTGTGATTCTTCTCCAGTTCAAACTTCAGGAGCTTCCAAAGTTGTTGGTTTTTGCTTCTAGAATATTATTTTTGTGGAGCATAACTATACTATTCCCTCTGTTTCTGTTCAAATGGTTTAAAAACTTTGTTTGCTTTAGTAAAAAGCAAGAGTCCAAGTTAGATATTTTACCAGACATCTGCAATAATAACTTTCTTTAATTAGACATGTGAAACTAATGGAATTTTGCCATTACTTTTGCCATTGGTCAGGATTTCACCTTGTATAGAAAAGATGTATTCTAATTTTCTGTATTGCACATTGGAATGATGGACTTTAATGGCTATTCTGAAACTGCTATTATTTGAGGCGTGGAGGAGAGCCCTTAATGACACATGTATAGTTCTTAACTCTACAGAAAATAAACTAAATGATGTGGTAGTGAAAAATGATGTGCTAGTGAAATGTTTTTCAAAAAGCTTATAATTGAAGTAGTAATACTTTTTTTTTTTCTTTTAATACAGCGTGTAGGAAATGTATTTAGGATGCATTAAAATCCATTAAAGTTCCTTTAGCTATAAGGTAACATGTGGGTGAAGAAATCTCACTTTTCTTTTCTGATTTTTATAGCTTGCACGTGCAGTGGACATGCAAATATTTGTCACATGCAAACAGGAAAATGTTTCTGCACAACTAAAGGAATCAAAGGAGACCAGTGCCAACTGTGAGTACAATTCAATATAGCCCTGAATTGCAATTTTGACTAGTATATAATCACTCTTTCCCTGGTTTCGATTTGCTTTTGGTTTTGGATTTTATGATTGACCTAACAGTGTTTTAGTGATGAATCTAGAGTTCCCTGCATTTCTTAGGAAATTTCAATATTACTTAGTATTTTGTTAAAGAATTACACCACCAATATTAGCAGTATTTTGCAGACTATAGGTTTAAAAAATACCTGTAAAGTATTACCTGTAAAGTAACTGGAGAATTACCAGTTGTTGTTTTCCTTTTGTAAGATTTAAGTTTTTTAATCATTGTAAAGAAAAATATCTGTGAAATTAGTAATTATATTCAGTATGTTTGTCATATCTTGAATAGAGTCTGTAGTGATTAGATTTGTAGAATTTTAGAAACGTAAGGTGCACAGTGATTTAGGCATTTTCCCATATCATTAAATATAGAACAAAGGAATGTTACAGGAAGTACAATTATTTTATCTTGTTTTGTACTGGAATAGCTTATTGTGTTTGCTTAGAGAAAGAGCTTGCAATTTAAGATAGAACATAATAAATGGGGGGACTGTGAACAAGGAACTACTAGAGTAACTTGTCAAGTAGGAGAAACAGCACATTAAAGTTAACTATGAATAGTCTTATATTTAAAGTTATTTCTTTCAGTTCATTCTGCCCTGTGCACTGCACTATCCAATAGGAACCTTATTCCTTTCACAATTATAGTTATTTTAAACCGTTTCTGGCCACAGAATTGTCTTAGCAATGTTGGTTGGAATTGGGGAAAAGGAATAAATACAGCTTATTCCTCTTGAGCAGGGAAAGGTGCCGGGACATAATGTTCTACCTGACACAGGGCATATTCTTTCACTGAATTTGTGGATTTGTCTTTGATACACTTTGTGAACTAGCTTGGATCATACCCTTAATGCTTTGCTTCATAAATAGGCAAGAAACAATAACACCTGATGGAGATGCTATGTGTATATACCTGAGAAAGATCTGTGCTGGCAGGTACACTGTTTCAGTGGTGCCTCTGGGACTTTTTTGTCTAGCTAATTGGAGACTCAGCACGAGATAGGAAACCAGGGTTAGGGCTAAATGATGAAATTTTATCATGACAAAAGCTAGAGAGTAATAATATCTTTAAACTAGCAATTAAGTCTTCACTGAGGAGTTATTTTTATCCATTTGTGCCCAAACACAGATGTTAATCAGTCATTTGATTACCAGCGTGCTGTGGACGTATGTTGATGCCATTCTATCTATTTACAAACAACGGTGTGTGGGGGAATCTACTCTTCTGTATATCATAACACTCCAAATGCAGGAAATGGTTTATTTGCTCGTAACTCCAATCCTCTACCAACTACCATTTGGCCTAAGGTGCTTTTTATGGACCTTTTCCCCAGTCTGTATTTCACATACCTATTTTGCTATTGTTTTCCCTTTGTCTTGCATCTGCTTCGTTTTCTCTCCTCTGATTTGGAACTTTTGTCTCATATGGTCAGCTGTGCAGCTCAGCCCTATCCGTCTGCTGTCCTGAGTTTGTTAGAAAGGGTTCTTTGATCCCATTTACTGAACTAGGAGAGAAAAGGTTGCCTTGGTGGTGGGTTTTCCTGTCTGGTCAGGCGTCACAGCAAGTCCACAAAGTGGAAGAAATGGAAATTTGAATTTAGACTCTTTAATTCAGACTGAAAATCCCTAGTTTTTGTCACATACAATACATTCTCCTTCCTAGAGTCTTACATAAGCCAAAGGCTTACCCAGGACAAGCTGGGGTGTTAAAACATTTGGTGTTCCAAATGGTTTCTTTTGGATGAAATAAACTGCAGAGCAGCCGTTTTCAAATTGTTTTTGGCTGTGATCACATTTCAGATTGTGACCTTCACATCTGTTGTGTTTATAGACACAAATATTAGCATAAAAATTGAGTTTCTGCTCTTAAGTTCTTTCCTAAATCTGGTCTTAAAAAAAGAAATAAATAGAGGCTATGTAGGCTATCTAGTTTATGTCAGCACATATAGAAAGAGACCAGTTGCAGTCTGAATGCATTAGGAGACTATCTAGGACACAATTTCAGTACTAGAGACTCACTGTTAAGAATCACTGTATATCCTGTGGAAAGCTGATAAAGACAGATTTAGAGTTTAGTGTATCATCAGACAATACACTTGGGATTTGTCATTTTACTCCGATGCTTGCTTTGGGAGGGTATCCATCCATCTGTGCAAGTTCCAGTCAAATGTTCTTTTAATTATTTGCTTTAGAATATCCCTTAGGAGATGAAGAACATAAAAAGCAGTTCACTCATGAATCATTGAATCCAGTCACCTTCTGCTATCTAATTTGTAAACTTCATATGAAGTTTATAGACTTGATCAGATCTGTATCCCAGTTAAAAAAAGAAAAAAACATTTCCCCTGTAAAAATGTTTACACTCAAAATGTGTTGACAGTATCATATTATAGTTTTAAGTTACATATACAGTAGTTATCGAGAAGATTAGGGTGATTTTTAAATCAGCTAAATGCTTTACTTGTATTGATTATTCTTGGTAAATCTTCTGGAACTTGATTCAAAGTGTGAATACTGTTCTTCATAGATTTGGGTGCATTTTTATTTATTTATTTATTGACTTGATTTATTTGGCACTTGTTAGATGGGCTGTTGTCCAGCCTCAGCAACAAACCTACAACCCTGTTATTTCTAAAATAAGGATTTCTCCGAAAATTCCAAACTCTGTTTGGTGTGTGTTGGATTTATGTTCCTGTCAAGAATCCTGTTGATTAGAAAGTCATAGCTTCAGGGCTTTATGTTATGTGTCTCTCTCCCTCCCTCCATCTCTTCTGCCTTCCCTCTGATGCTTTTATATCTGCTCATCAGCTGAGCATCATGCCGCGGGGGTGGTGTTTTTAGGAAATCAAGGAAACTTAAAAATATTCCCCTTCTTTTTCCCTCCCTAGCTAAGAACACCTACTTAGTTGTCGTTTTATGGAGGATCTTCTTTATTTTTTTCTTTTTTTTTATTTTTTTTTTTTTTAGTATAGCAATATCTATTACATTACTTTTTGAATTGCGCTGTTGAATAGCGCAAAGCACACTGGCACTTTAAATCAGAATTAGTGTTCTAAGACAGAACTGAGCATCCATTTACATGATATTTTGCCATGTTTCTTTATTTTCTGTAATATTAGACTTGCTAGCTGCTCATTTAATTCCCTTATAGTTATTAATCTACAGAGGTTTTATTGTATCCCTATGCAGGATTATACACACAGTTAACTTTCAGGAGTAGGAATATGGAAATGTAAGGAACATGTTAAGGAGTTGTTTCAAAGTTGAAATTTTGAGATCAGATGAGGGAGCATTTACTGGATACAAGGAAGAAAAATTAAAAATTATAGAATTAACTGGTTAGTTACATCGTTCTTTGAGAAATTTTGGTGTGCCTGGGATCTTCCAAGAGCCAGCCTTCACTTGGGGGTGTGTCTGTAACTTTTGTATCTCCAGATTTACATGGATTTACAAGGGATGACATCTGGTAAGGTTGCAGGGTTACGAATGTTTGGTGGAAATAAGGTTCCATAGTGAATTTTTCAAATTGTCAGGTTTTACTGGATGTGCCATAACATTTATTGCACTGTACTTCCCCGTTACAGCCATTGCTGTCCTTTTGGAGGAAGGAAATCACTCTCTTTTGTTAAGTACTTTCTGCTGTGGTTGATTTTGGAGCATTGGAACTGTCCTGCTGGTATTGAAACCAGCATTGAATATATTTAAATGATAGGTGGGTTAGGTATCATGCTAGTATATATAAATTCCCAGGTGTAAACCAGAATAATAATTATTTTACCTAACTGGGAACTGGTAAAATGTTGATTATCTGCTGTGGTGTGTAGAAAGAGAACTACCAGAAAACCATGTAAGAACTGAACAAAAACTGGGCTTCAAGACTTCTGTAAAAACAACTCTGTTGTGGTTTAAACCCAGTCAGGCAACTCATTCACTCACTTGCCCCCCCTTCTTTCCCTGCCCCTGCTCCCGGAGGGACAGAGAGGAGCATCAAAAAGAATGCAACTCCCATGGGTTGAGATAAGAACAGTTTAGTAACTAAGGTATAACACAAATCACTACTGCTACCACCAATAGTAACAATGATAAAGGAAATAACAAGGGAAGAGAATACAACACCTCAGCACCAGCTGACCGATAACTTGCCCACCCAGCCTGACCAAGCACCGACCGATACCTCCTCCAACCCTGCAGACCACTAGCCCTTCTGGGTAACTCCCAGTTACCTCCTGGGCATGACGTGCTGTGGTATGGAATACCTCTCTGGTCAGTTTGGGTCAGGTGTCCTGTCTCTGCTTCCTCCTGGCTTCCCCTCCTCCCTGGCAGAGCGTGAGGCTCACAAAGTCCTTGGCCAAACCAAAACATCAGGCTGAAAGTCAAAACACAGCACTGCAGCAGCTACCAAGAAGGAGAAAAATGACTGCTACTGCTGAACCCAGGACAAACTCCTAGGTGGAAATAAAATCATGGAGAAAGAAAAAAAAAAATCCTTCTTTTTAATATCATATTTCATAGCCTATTTTGTGTTATTATAAGGCAGATAAATTGAAAAGTATAAAATGTATAAATCCACGGTATTCTGGATTTAAAAAGTAATATTTTGCTCATTTTAATTCTAATTCTAATAAGTATTCAGACAGTATTCATAGTCATACTGTTATTTCTCCTGAAGAGGGGGAAGAATTACCATTTTATTTATAAAAATGTACCCTGTTTTATTTGTTAAAATCGTCACTCTATGCAAGCTTAAAAAAGCTATTTAATAATGTAAGTATCTGTGCATATATAATATGCACTTATTGATAGTCTGATTTACATAAGAATAAGATTTTTAACTATCCAGCTGTATGCAGTAGCCCTTGGACCAGTTCAGACCAGGCCAGATGTCAAAAATGTACTGTACACCTCAGCTGGG